CAGTTCAGACTTTTAAGTATATTTTTATTAGCCTACTTGTACATACTTACAAACATTCATGTGTTGAAAATCAGTGGGCCCAGAAGCATAATAAGGAAGCTCTGTAGCTGGTATCCCACAGACATGTACTGTTTGCTATTGGTTAGCAGACAAACAGCAGTTTCCAAGCCTGTAATAACCAGTAATCAATGCTGATTTAAGAGATAATTGGATGTTATAGCAACCATGTTAGCTAATGCCTCTCCAATTCACATGCCATAATATTCCCTCTGCACCTCATACAGTTTCCATCTTACACTGTTTTACAACAAACTTGCTCCTTACACTAAAACACGCTCAGCATAAGCTGAGCATTTATCATCAGCATTTATCCTAGCAATCTACTATATAATGCAATCCAAAGGGCATGTCTTTGCCCTCAGCAATCCTAAAGTATGCAGAAGTATAAAGCTTTTTTAAAGTGTCTTAGTTCACAGACCAATGAAGCCAGAGCACACCCAATGGCCTGAAAAATGTCAAGTGTCCATCTGAAAAACAACAACAACACAGAAAATGGGGAAGAAGGGAATGAAATTGGCCTCTTACAGTTTATTGTACTCTGGAAGATGGCAAAGCTACATGGTTGGCTGAGCAGAAGCACTCCTGCTAGTGCGCCAGGGTATGGGAATCTCACTTGTACTTTAAGGTCTCACTTGTACGCAATGTATAGGGAAAAGCTCTAACCAAACCGGGAAGGGGGTAATTTCTGAGTAAGAATGTACAGGAGCAGACCACAACAGAGAGAATAATTGTAAAGTTAGCTTTCTTGAACCTATGTTTTATTCAAATCACACTACAGTACACTCTAATATCTCCTGCAAGTTTCCTTAACTATTTTTTTCTAGTTTTCTATCTCTAATTTCAACTCATAATTCTTAAAAATCAGAAATCGGAAGGTATGTAGCAATAAGTCACTTCTGTTCTTTCGACAATTTTAGTTTGTTCCTTGACTGAATGTGCATACTGCCAAACATTTATCAAATTTATTTCACTTAATGCCAACAATGAATAATAAAAAGCAAGTGAATAGTTCAAATTTCAGTTAAAATATTCCATTCCATTGCAGAGCAATTTGTTCGGCCAAATCAAGACAAGCATAGTTTACTATATTTCCGTTACAGAGTTAGGAGCTTTCAGACAGGGTATCTGACTGCAATAAGATGTTTAAAACATTAAGTATTTCACACAATGTTCTGAAAGAAAGCATTCTGCAAGAATCTGCCTTGTATCAAGTAAGATGTTTGATCCATCTAGTTCAATCTTGTCTAAATCTGCTTTCCCAATCTGATGTCCTGGTCTGAGACTAAAATTTGCATCAGTCCCAACTAGCACAGTCAAGGAACAAGAGCACTGGGAGTTGGAGGGCACCAGTTTCAGGAAATCTGGCCTATGCTGAATGACAGTCCCTCTCCAGCGTCAGACAAATCTTTCCCCAGACCTTCCGACACAGCCCAGGGCCTGAATTTGGGACCTTTTGCATGCAAAGCATGTATCCCACCACTGAGCTACAACTCAGTTCTCCATGTGAAAACGAATAGATAAAAGCCAAGAGAGGCGGTAAAAAGGAACAGTTCAAAGAGGACCAGAGAGGGCTGGAGGAAGGGAGAGGAAAGTGTCTAAATAAGGCTATTGTTCTCTTTAAATAAAAGAGATCAGACAGCCAAGCTCCATGGAAGAGACTAGCTTTAAAGGTAGCCAAATTAAAATCTCTGAAGATAAAACTGTTGACTGAGATGGGCTAAGGAACAGCACCTCTGTAATGATGATCTCTGTGGAAGTTGTTCTCTATGGAGAGTAAAGAGCTCTGGGTATTTCTACACCTTTCCCAAACATTGTGAGGGATGTGTTATTATTTACTTCTTCCCTTTATTTATGTGCTGGGTTATGCCCCACCTGTTTTCCTTCCCAGGAAGGAAAGGCGACTTACACAATTCTCCTCCTCTCAATCTTATCTTCACAGCAACAAGCTTGTCAGGTCAGTTGGCCTGCCAGTCTGCAGCTGGCCCAAAGTCACTCAGGGAGCTCCATGGCTGAGCGGGGACTAGAACCCAGGTCGTCTGAGTCCCAGTCCTGCACTACAGGATCAGCACGCAACACGGGCGCTTTGCATCTCACTTCTTCCTCTCAGAAACCTAGGGAACGCATGACTCTCCTCTTCTCTCCTCCCCACAACCACCCTGTGAGACAGGTTGGGGAAAGAGTCAGTGAAGACACAACCCTATGGACTGCCCCCTCACTCTTTAGACACCCCCAGCTCAGAGTCTTCCAAAAGCCCTATCCCTTCCTTGGCTGAAGCTGGCAGGGAAAGAGGAACGGGGGAGCTCTCTGCCTTCTTACCTGTGATCTGAGGTTTCAGGTGGACCACAGGTAGCCTCCAAGGCCACCCTTCCTCCCCCAGTGCCCGACACTACGAAAGGAGCCGGCGGAGCCAGGCACTTGCGCGCGTGACCACCTCTCTTAAGTGCCCCACACTGGCTGCTCTTCTGGGCAATATGTGAGGGAGGAGGAAGAAAGACTGGCCATATGAGTGGACAGAGGGGAGGAGAGCAACTGGATAGGTGGGTGAACAGAGAGGAGGAGGTTAACAAGGCAGATGGGCAGGGCAGGGGAGGGGGGGAGGGCGAGGAGCTGCAGCAGGGGAGGAGGGCAGTTCTCAGCAGCCATTTATTTCACCAATCTGAAATAGTGAAGACTAGTGCACTATATAATTTAAAGATCTACTGAATGAAAAGAGTCCCACCCATAGGTTCAGTGAATATGATTTGCATTTTTGCCATTTTTAATTGGTTGATTGTTTTATCATTTTTATTGCTGTTTTACTGTTGTTTTATCATTGTTTTACTGTAAGCCACCCAAAGAGCCATTGGGCTATGGGGCCACATATAAATGTAATTAAATAAATAAAATGTTCAGTTCTGTTTTGTTTCCTATGGGAAGGGATATATAAAACACTGCAGAAAACTGAATTGTGTGTTATCTATGCTGCAGCTGAGATGTATTTGTGAGGGCATCTATCTGAAATGGGAGGACACCACAGAGTATCCATTTTACACCATCACCACGGACTTGAGGGGGAAACCATTTGCTTCATGGAGAGATTCTAGTTTGGTGATAATTAAACTAGAATTTCCCAGGCTCAAATTCTGACATCTCCATTGAAGAGGATCAGGTATCAAGAGATCAATCAGAGAACCTGGAAAACTACTAATCAGAGTAGATAATACTAGATTGTCTAACTGGACAAGTATTTTGGATATGCATGGCTTCTTACGTACTTGTGACAGCAACAAGGAGTGTGGATGGGCTTGTAGGCCTCTGAAGCAAAAGCTGGATGTTCTAAACTAGTTCATCAAGCATCAGTCCCAGGAAATGAGGTGCTTTGCAAGAGAAGAGAAAAGTTTTATTCTAAACATCCTTAAAGTTATTCCAGGGTGGAAGGAGAGAGAAAACCAACTTTAATTACTACTGTTTAAACTCCAACCAAGTTGGCCTGCACCAGCCCAGGTAAAAGGGAGTTCTGTGGCTAATAGGCTGGGCTAGGCATCAAATGATAAATAAGTCATATGCCATTGTGTCATCCCAGCATTATTGTGGAGCACTAATGACCAGTAGAAAGGGGTAGATGGGAAGCACATGTCTGCATTAAAGATTATTCTCCATTAAAATCAGTCCTTAAATATACATCAATACACATTTATTGATTTAAGTAAATGGAGATCAAGTGAGAAATGATAGCTACAGAGGTAGTTCATATGAAAAATAAAATAAGGATTTATTGGTATGATCCACTATTATTTTGAAATGCTCTACGGGAGTGAATTAATCAGTTCCATGCCGTATGTCTAATAAAAGTTCTCAGCTATTTGCGCAGCCTGAATGCATGACATGCTATGTCAAAGATCGCTGAAAAAATAGCATAAAACAAGCAGGCACAGCTCACAACCCAAACAATTTGACCTTTACTGGACTGCCACTCTGAAGTTAAATCTCCAGTCCTCCCAGATGTCCAACTGCAAAATCCTGTTCTACAGATGCAATTTTTCCTCCACACTCTCATTTCTAAGTGGGAAATGGGAGTGGGGGTAATGACATAGACAAAATCCAACAGGAATTCTAGATATGGTTCTTCAGTCACACTTTACCCATACACAAAACCCTGGGTACATTTTAGGGGGACAAAGAGACCATTGCTTGTCTTAAAGAAAGATGCTTTGCAGTAACAGACACACATTTCAGATTTTTGAAAAGGTTAAACAGACTCTTATGCTACCTTGAGCACCATCTCATACGAAATAGGCAGGATATAAATTAATTAAATAAGCAAACATGAATTAAATCTGGAGAAGACAATTGTAGGCAGTTGTCCACTTCTCCAACTTAATTTTGGGGTTCGGAACGTGAAAGACGAGACCTCCCCCCCCCGAAAAGAAAAAGGAAGCCTCGCAATAGCAACGTACCCTGCTCGCCCTCAATTTAGGGGAAAAACACACCTGGAAAAAAGCGATCGGAAAGGCGGGGGCGCAAGAATCAGAAATGCAAGTCCAGCCCCCTACTCCTGCCTACGGAACTGGAGAGGTAATGCTTTCGTTTAACTCAACAGGATTTCAGTTTGATATCAGATAGTTTCCTTGAAATAAGAACACCCCACCCAATTTCAAAAAACGAGAAAACCGGAGCGGGTGGGGAGAGAAAAACTGAAGGCGGGGAGGGGGGAAGAAACACACATTCAGACCCGCGACCCCGGGCAGACCTCTGGGCCAGCGAGCGCCCCCGGACCCAGGGGGCCGCCGCCCCTCCCCCGCAAGGGGGCGCTCCCAGCCCCCCACCCTCCGGGGGGCGAGGCGCGGAGAGACCCCGCCGCCCTCCCACCCCCGGGCCGGGGCGGCGGGTGGGGCCGGAGGGAGGGGCTCCCCAACTTGGAGGGTCACGGGCGGAGGCGGCGCCGGATGACTCAGACTCACCGTTGCCAAGCGATGGGGGAGGACGAGGGAGCGCGGGGCGCCGGCCGCCGCTCGCCCCTCACAGCCCCGAGGCCGGGGGGCTCCTCCGGCCCCCGCCGCGGCCGCTGCTCCGCCCCTTCCTCAGCGGCGGCTCCCGCGCCTGCCCGCCGCCCTCGCCGCCGCCGCGGAGCCGCTCCATGCACGGGGACGCGAGGCCGGGAGCGCGGCAGTGGCAGTGGCAGCGGCAGCGGCGGCGGCGGCGGCCAGCCCGGCCTGCGCGAGCCTGCGGGCCGCCCCGAGCGCGCCGCGCCGCTCCCCTTCCCGCCGTCGGAGGCGCCTCTCCCGGACCCGGTCCCGGACCCGCACTCGGACCCGCACTCGCCCGCCTGCCTTCCTGCCCTCGCGGCGGCGGCGCCTCCCGCCTCAGCCCCGGACGCCTGGAAGGCGCGCGCCCATTGGCTCACTGAGAGGACGGCGCTGGTTGGCGGCGGCGCGCCAGGCCGCCCCGCCCACTTCCCCGGGCCTCGCTCGCGCGCGCGCGCTCGCTCGCTCCCCGGGCCTCTGGCGGGACGGGCGTGGACGCCCCGCCGAGGCCACGGCGGCCGCGGGACGCTGACCTTGGGCGCGCCCGCCCGCCCGCAAGGGAAGCCCGGTTTCCAGTTTCGTTCGGGGCCGCATTCCTGCAGAGGTGTGCGCACGCTCGGTTGGGCTGGATGGGGCTTACTTCTGAGTAAGCCACGCGACGCATCGGGCGGCGATTGCATGCTCGTTTACCTGGGAGTAAGGCTCATTGAGCTCATTGGAACGAATTACTCAACGGCCACGTAGGAGGTTATTTTTCAGCCCTGCCACCCCGCAGTTGAAAGTCGCTCTACGCGAGTAGCAAAGGTAGTAAAATCTCGTTGGCACCGGGCTGTTTTCTCTCGCGCGCCGTTACCTGTGCTTCCCCCCCCTCAGGGCTGCAATCCAGGACACGGTCACATGGCGGTCAGGTCCATGGACGTCGAGCGCCTGAGCGGGCCTCCGTAGGCTTGTTCCGCGGACCTCGCCCACGCCTCCTGTGCCCAGCTCCCCCGCACCTGGAAGAAAAACAAAGTCCCACAGCATGTGGCGCCTGCGTCCGGTTTCCTCTCGGCGCGCCCGCGCTGGCGCCCTGCGTTCTCTGGCCCCCCAGGATACAAGTTGCCGAATCGGCCGCAAGCGGCGGGCCGGGCCGGGGCATCCTTAAGAAAAGCCCCGCCGCAGTCGATGCAGACGTGGCCCGATCGATGCTCCCCGATCGCGACCCGAACCACGCGCGGCCGGGCTGGGGCAAACCGTGGAGCCTTCCCGGTGTGCGCTGGCGTTAAGGGCCGCTGCAGGCAAAGAGGCGATCCACAGAAGAGACGGAGGTGAGGATCGGGTGTTGCGCAGGATCGGTCTTCTGAAGTCGCCGGGGTGGCCAGGTGAGGGGCAGGAGAGGAAGCAGGGGCACTAGAGGGGGAAGGACTCCACCTGCGGCCCCAATGACAAGCCTTTGCATGACTGACAGCTCCACATCCTACACATAGAAACAGAGCAAGTCAGAAGGGGTCTCCGAGGCCATCTAGTCTGACCCCCGGCTCCAGCCAGCTCCTTGCCTCCTTAGACTCTCCCATTGCTTCCCAGCAATTCTATTACTGTGCAGCCAGATCCTGGTCCTGCTTACTTCCAAGTAAATCCTACCACTTGCAGCACTGCAAGCTTTAACTTTTTGCCAGTTGGCTCGAAGTCAGGATGGAAAGCCAGTTTCTGAAGAGCTCAGCCATCCATTGTTTGGCAAGTGTTTGAATCCTTCAGGCAGGTGAGGGAGAAGCAGAATGGAGCCTCTACTTCTGAAGACCCACTGGGGAAGAATGGCCTCCAAGCGGCTTTGAGTTTCACCCTTGCAACTGGTTGCGTACTGCTGGAGACAGACTTGGGCTTGTGTGGAACTTTGATCTCCTACACAAAACTGATTCATCTGTCCGTGTCTGTATGTGTTTTCTGCTCCCCCACAAACATGCACGGAACAGCGCCACCTTATTTATAATAGCTTTGCGCTACAGAGGGAGTGATCCTATGGCCCCTAGGAAGGGCCAGAGGGTACTTTGGATTGCCAGGTCTGAAGTCGGAGGCAGTCTTCCCACCGTGGAGCGAGCAAGACTCTCTGGCCACTTCCCCCACAGCTAGCACTGAGACAACTGCAGCGGCTGCCTCTTCAAGGTTGGACACGCAACCTCAGAGACACAGGACAGGGGGAAGAGGGGGGAGGAGGAGACTGCAGAGCTCAGAGTGCAAGATATCTCACTCCGGAGCTCCCCAGGTGAGCCGCTGAAAAAGGCTGTCTGGTGAAAATGCCCAGCAGGGAAGCCAGGGAGGCCTCCGTCACGCCTCCAGCTCCCCACAGGCAGGTCATGAGCCTCCAGGCATGGGTGCTTACGAAAATCAAGGGTGCAGCCCCTGCCGTTGCACCCTCAGCAGCTCACCTTAATGTGCGGCACAATATGGAACAAATATCAAAACCCTTTGAACTATTAAGGCCGGGGAAAGCTTGAGTGACTAGGTATGTTCTCAAGAGTTAAATTTACAACTTCCTGCTGTTTCTGCTTCTCAGATCTCACGCAAGAGAGTGTTCCAGCGGGCTGGTGCCACCACCAAGAAGGCCACTGATACACTTCCCCCTGGTGACTTGCCATTTGCTGCACAAAGTGGGTGCCAAGCAGCATAAGTGCAATTCCACCCACAGGTGAGGCACATCAGACTGGGATGTACCTTCAGTGGAGAGTCACCAAGTTCCAGTTCAGCACTGTGGGCTATGCAGGCACAGATGTTTCCTGCATCAGTTGCAATGATCATGACAGCCCTAAACATTCCCCAAAGAAGCAAAACCACCAGGACCTGATTTATTCCCCTACAATTCCACACAGAAGCTGCAGAGGGAAAGTAGAAGCTAAGCCAAGTGTCAGTTCTCCTGAATTAGCTTAGCAGAACTGCTGAATTCTACTCATCTCTAGCTTTCAATGCAAACAGAAAAGGAGGGGGACAGATGATGTGAATATTTATCCATATGGATAAATGTTCTAGTTTCCCTGACTTTTAATTATCTGGATATATTTATAGCATTAAGATTTTAATTGCTTTTTCTTACTATGCAATGTAAGGCCTGGGCTAATTAGGCTGCAGTCTTGTGACAGCAGAGCTAGGCAATATGGACCCCTTTCTTAGCGGCTGTGAAGGTGCCCTATTTCTCTCACTTTAAAAAGAGAAAAAGAAATTAACACCTTTTCTTACTAGCATCTGGGATTGCAGTGAAATAGGCTGCCAGTGCTGAAAAGAAGGTCCAAAGATTGCCTTTTGCCTGTTGGAGGGCAATGCAGTCTCCAAACCCTGCCACTCCATGTATCAGGACTAAATTTCGGATATAAGGAGACAATAGGCAAAGGAAGAGGGAAACTAACCACCCAGGACTGAGAAAAGGAAGCAGTCTGTTCAGCTGTCTGCCAGACAACTTGGGTAGGGTAACAAACTATGGGCTAACCATGGGTTAAACAGACCAGGCCAGGGGGGCTTACTTTTGAACAGACGTGCATAGAATTGCACATGTATTTGTTCTAAGACTGCAATGCATGCGCATTTGCTTGAGAGTAAGCCTTGCTAGACACCACAGGATTTACAGAAGATAGGGTTCAGGTATAAATACTTATTTCAACACTTTCTGCCCGTGGTTATCAGGTCTTGTACTCGAGTGCCTTGATAAGTCCTGGTCCCAGCAGTGGAAAATTATATGTGGACGGATATGGTGAACAGGGATGGGATGGCTTTGGGCCAGTCACTCATTCTCAGCCCATCCTACCTCACAGGGTTGTTGTGAGGATAATGTAATTTGCCTTGGATTCCTCACAAGAGGAAGAAAGGGAGGATGTAAATGCAATGGAATCATCATCATCGCAACCACCTTTGGTCCCTTGCAGAAGGGAAAAGGTAAGATATAAAAACCAGGTAATGACAGGATAATAATATCTGAAGAGGCCTCAATGGCAGCATCTCCATTATTTCCCAGGAAGCCTCAATGGCAGTAATCAGCCGCAGAGCCCTGTGACACTGCAGCAGTTTTCTGAAGGGGAGGGGATCAATGAACACCCCCCAGATTTCAGCTACCGCCAAGCTATTAAGCCACGGGATGAGACCTCTTCCTTCCATTTTGAAGAACAGCTCTTTCTCGGTGGTTTTCTCTAGCTGTCTTTAAGCTCAACATGCCTCACAATTTCCTGCAGTGTGGCCCGGGGTCCCCTGCTCAACTCCCATCATGAATCTTAAAGCAGCCTTCCTTCAGGGCATCCAGAAGGTACCCAGCTGAGGAAGCTAGAGTTGAAGCATGGAAAGACAGAAGACTCTCCCCCCAAAAGGGCAGCCTGTTGTGGTGGTCTCTGTGCGGGTGGGATGGGAGCATGAACGGGCACTTCCCCCTTTGGATTTTGGCCCCCACACCACCTACGTGCAGCTCCGAGCACTTTACTCTGAGAGCAAGGGGGCGTTGCGGTGCTGATGGGGACTGATCTTCCGTCCTTGCTGTGAACACTTCCTTGAGGAAACCCCTCTGAACTTGACGGGACTTGCATTCTATTCATTTTCGCAAAGGATAACCGCTAATTTTGCATGCACTGTGCTGTCTGAAGGGAGACACTCCTTGGATTAGGCTGCTAATCTGGCCCAATGAGAGAGCTTCAGCAGCAGATTGGCAGAGAAATGGAATGCATGAAATGCGCAAAATTACATGCTGCAACACAGTGGTTCTACTCAAAATCTTGCCAGTTTTGGAGTACGACTTGGGAGATCCAGGTTCTCATCTCCACTCAGCTCACTGGGTGATTTTGGGCCAGTCATGGACTTTTAGCCTGCCCTACCACACAGGGTTGTTGTTGTGAGGAGAAAACGGAGGGCAGACTTTTGTAGACCACCTTGGATTCCTTGCCAGAGGAAGAGCACAGGGTAGAAGTTTAATATAACAGTGGCAGTAAATAAATGAGTCCACACCTGTGTGTCGTGTTTCCCAACATCCTCTTGGGAAAGGGTTCAGGGATGCAGGACCTTGGTACAGTCCCCAAAAGTGAATGTTGTTTCGAAGGGCTGCCAAGGCAGTTCGCCT